CACAGTCGCCCCAATTTTCAGCAACTACTACCCTGCTCACAACAGGCTAGACCCGAATCACAGCAGCCATCATCATTGAGGCAAAACCATATAAAACCCTTCACCAGCAAAAAAATTATGACTCATTGAAGGCTCAGAGGATTGTTAGCATCTTTTTTTTTTTTTTTTTTTTTTTTGGCCAAGGACAGGTTTGAACCTGCCACTTTCGGTATGTGGGGCTGGCGCCCTACTCCTTGAGCCACGGGTGCCACCCCTAGAGATGAGGTCTTGCTCTGGCTCAGGCTGGTCTTGAACTCATGAGCTCAGGTGATCCGCCTGCTTCAGCCTCCCAGAATGCTAGGGAGCCACCGTGCCCAGCCTACAGCCATGATTTTCAACTGGTGTGCCAGAGAACTTTTAGTTTTTTATGTTTATTTATTATTATTTTTTGAGACAGAGTTTCACTATGTTGCCCTTGGTAGAGTGCCGTGGGATCACAGCTCACAGCAACCTCCAACTCTTGAGCTAAGGCGATTCTCTTGCCTCAACCTCCTGAGAAGCTGGACTACAGGTGCCCGCTACAACACTCAGCTATTTTTTTTGTTGCAGTTTGGCCGGGCCAGGTTCTAACCGCTCGGTATACAGGGCCGATGCCTTACTCACTGAGTCACAAGTGCCTCAGTAAACATCATTACGTTTTTGCTGTTGATGGAACTACTGTCTTTCTCTGGCCAGAGGAGACAGACCTAGGCTTTCCAGGGAGTCCATAATCTCAGGATGTGTAGCCCTCTGGACTGTAACCTCTCCTTTCCCCCCTATTGAGTCTAGGGAAAGCAAAAGAAAATTTATCCTCCTCTAATTGCTGAGTCCAGTGGCCTGGCAAATCTCTTCCCACAGTCCTCTCCCCTAGCTAGGAAATGGGAATGCCACGTTCCCACTTGCTTAGTCCAAAAGCCTCAGAATCACCGATGGTTCTTTCCCTTACACCAAGTATCATCCTGAACTGACTCCACCTTGAAACACAACCACTTCTCCTCACCTCGATGCTGTCCTTCTGGTTGAGCTGCCAGGCGCCTTTTTGCCCCTGGATCATGGCAATAGAATAGTCTCCTAAATGATCTCCCTGTCTCCAGCATCACCTCCCATAGTCTTTTCTGTAGGAATCTTGCAAACTTTAAGTCAAATTACATCACTCTTCTGCTCAAAATATTCCGACAGCTTCTTCTTTCATCTAGGCTTATAACAGCCTTCAGAGCCCAGTGTTATGACCCGCTGGGCCTGTCACCTCTCTCACCTCATTTTCTACTCTTTCCCCTCTGCTTTTCCCACTTGGCCATTGCTGTCCCCACACGCTGAGCACGGTGCTGCCTCAGGGCTTCTCAGCTATTTGCCCAGAGAGCTGCATGATTTGCTTCCTCATCTGTTTCAGGTCTTTACTTGAATACTCCCTTCTCAGCAAGGCTTTTCCTGCCCAGCCTACTTAAAACTGCACCCCTCCCACTGCTCCCGAACACTCCATCCCCTCCTCCCCTGCTTTCCTTTTCTCCATGGTGACACCTGTTCCTCTGCCCCCTTGCCACCTTGTCTGTAGGCTCTGCCACATGGGGATCCATCTGTGTTGCCAAGTGCTGCCCCCTAGTGCTTGAAGCTGTGCGGGGGCACCCAGTGTGCTGTCTAATGTTTCCTCTTGTCATTCACACACACACACACACATATATATATATATATTTTTTTTTTTTCTTTTTTGGCCGGGACTGGGTTTGAACCCACCACCTCTGGCATATGGGGCTGGCACCCTACTCCTTTGAACCACAGGAGTCATATTTGTATCTGACTGATGCATGCCATCTATGCAAGGTCGAAGTCAAAGTAGAAAAAGCAACTGAGAGGTTCTACCTAGAAATTTCTTTCTTCTTCTTTTTTTTTTTTGAGACAGAACCTCAGGCTGTCCCCCTGGGCAGAGTGCTGTGGCATCACAGCTCACAGCAACCTCCAACTCCTGGGCCCAAGTGAGTCTCCTGCCTCAACCTCCCAAGTAGGTGGGATCACAGGCGCCTGCCACAACGCCCGGCTATTTTTTGGTTGCAGCCGTCGTTGTTTGGCGGGCCTGGGCCGGATTCGAACCCGCCAGCTCAGATGTATGTGGCTAGCGCCTTAGCCAGTTGAGCTACAGGCACTGAGCCTAGAAATTTCTACCTAGAAACTTAACTAGATACTTCGGCTCACTAAACCAGGGGTTCTCCAACTGTAGCATGTATAAGAACATCTTGGTGGCTTGTTTTTCTTTTCTTTTTTTTGAGACAGAGTCCCACTATTATCTTGTGTAGAGCGCTGTGGCCTCATCGCTCACAGCAACCTCAACCTCTTGAGGTTGAGCAATCCTCTTGCCTCAGCCTCCCAAAGTTTCTGGAGTGAGGCATGAGAATTTGCCTTTCTCACACTTCCCGGCGATACTAATGCTGTTAGTCTTTCAGAACCACCTCTCAGGCCCCTGGATCACCCTAGCAGTGCTGAGTCTATTTGCTCACCACTATATCCCTGATGCCTGGGATATTCCAGAAGCTCCAGAAATATCTATTGACAGAAAAATGTTCCTAGAAGTTAGAGTTTAAGGAATGAAAATTAGCTGGGTGCTACGGCAGGCACCTGTAATCCCAGCTACTCTGGAGGCAAGAAGATCACTTGAGCCCAGTAGTTTGAGGTTGCTGTGAGCTAAGCAACAGAGTGAGATACTGTGTATTGTTTTTTCTTTATTAAATCATGACTATGTACATTAATGCATTTTGGGGGCATAATGTGCTGAATTGATAAACAATGTGGAATGTTTACACCGAACTGATTAAGGTAACCAATCACCTTGCTTATTTGCTGAGGTAAGACATTTATACTCTATTTTTTTTTATACTCTATTCTTCATTGTTTTGAAATGTACCATTGTATTATGCACATTAGGTGAGGTCCCACCAAATACTCTCCCTCCTCCCAAGATACTGTCTTTTTTATTGAGACAGAGCCTCAAGCTGTCACCCCGGGTAGAGTGCCGTGGCGTCACAGATCATAGCAACTTCCAACTCCTGGGCTCAAGCAATTCTCTGGCCTCCGTCTCCCAAGTAGCTGGGACCACAGGTGCCCATCACAATGCCTGGCTATTTTTTGGTTGCAGCCGTCATTGTTGTTTGGTGGGCCTGGGCTGAATTTGAACCCATCAGCTCAGATGTATGTGGCTGGCGCCTTAACTGCTTGAGCCACAGGCGCTGAGCTGGCTTTTTTTTTTTTTTTTAGTTGTCATTGATGTTTAGGCTGGCCTGGGCTGAGTTTGAACCTGCTAGCCTTGGTGTATGTGGCTGGCACCATAACCACTGTGCTACTGGCACCAAGCCTTTTTTTTCTCTTT